TTTTATTCACTTCAGTATACACATTTGGAATTTGCAGCATGGATCTCTGGACACGGGAAAAAGTTGATAGGAAAAAACGACTATGGATCAAAAATTATTTTTCTGTGTAAAAATAAAGCAAAATTGAGAATCTTCAAGATTTGAAGAATTTCAAAATTCTAGTTAACACAGTTTGATGAAACCCTGGGTTTACAGAAGCCGATACCTTTGCAAATAAGAAAAAAAAAATGTGGTGGCATGTTTTCTTTTTAATTTTAAATAATTAAATTATTATTTAAATAATTTTAAATTTTAATTAGCCCTTTTCAAAGTGTACTACACAACTCTCCAGGATATCGTGCTGACATAATGCTTTTTTGCTTGCTGAAGTCATTTGGTAAGAAGTAATCCAATTACAGACAAAGCATGCTTTGACCAAGCAACTATATAAACAAGACGCTTTTATATTTACAGAAGATCCTAAAAAGATTTACACAAATGTATAGATTTACATTTTTATTAGGTTATGGTTCAAGCTCACTTTCTATATTTTTATAAGCTACAACATTAAGTAGGATCAAGTTCATCAATTAGTGCTTCATTCTCATTTTAATAATTCAAGTACTGATATATTGCTCTTTTAATTTTGCCTAAAATAGAAAAAAATTCAATTTCCTAGCAATCTTCCATTCAAATAAACCCACATCCTGCCTTCACAGCCCTCTCATGTTCCCTGAGGAAATTTGTATTAACTATCTCTTATTTCCCTGTCTTCCCATGGCAGCTTTCTACAAACATTTTAGTAATTTCTGTTTATCTGGACATTAAACATCATATACTAATTGCTGCACGGTATCGCATACAAAGATAAGGACTTCAAAATCAAACCTGAATTTTTTAAGAGAATTGGCAAACAGTAAATACTAATATTCAAACATTTTTTAACGTTTAAGTCCATCTTTAGCATTGAATCACATAAAGAATTTGGATTTAATTTTGAAACACCACCTCATGAGTACAATGTTGTGTATGTGCCCAAATAGCAGGAAGCTGAAACAGTATTTTTATTGCTAAATTCATTTCCCTCAAGGGTATATTAGAGACCTCACATTCAGATCCGAACACATAAGGAGAATCATTCCTAGTGTTCAGATGTGTTAAAAAAACCAGCAGAACACTGGCTTGTCAATTTATCTAGTCCTTTCCATTTCATCAGCTGAATGAATTGTACCTGTGAGCAGGAGCAAGCATCAGAGCAACCTGTATTTTCTTCTGCCTGGTGCCATCAGAAACAGGCTGATTTCTGTTCTCAGGGTCTTTCTGGATTGCTATTACAAATGGTCTGTGTGAAGCATAAAAATCATGATGACTGCTTTTTGTATTGATGAATAAACTCAAAAAGTTGCAAGTGGAAGATGTACACTCCTTAAATCCCACATTTGACAGAAGTGAGAGCACGGTTGATGCAAAACCACTGTAGTGCAAGATGGAAAAGGCAGCTCAGGTGGCACTACCAACCACAGGTGTACACTGGCTGTTTTGCAAGCTTGAAGCTTTTCAAGCTCCACAGGGATGCAGACAAGGGCTGCTCACGGCTAGCAGATACAGAACGTATTTAAACCCTCAGCTTGGTTGATTTTTACGTATGACTTACTTTCTAGCTATTTTCTAAAGGTGCCATAAAACTCTGCTGAACTTATACTAGAACAAAATCTACACTATGATGCTTTACAACTGTCCAGTTATCTACCAGAAAAATCCCGACAAATGCAGGTTAAATCCCATACTCCACACTGGTTTCAGTTCCAGTGCTACCATCTTACAGGAAGATTGAATAAAATATAAGATGAAGATGAGACTTAACAAATGTTTTCATATCAAAGTGTTTCTAAAAAAAAGGTGCAGCACAACTTTCTCCAGCAGGTGCCTATAGTTTGACCCAACAAAAAGAAACCTCACTGGCAACCACCTATGTCTCTGCACATGGCTAGCAAGCTTCTAATTTCATGTCCTGTTTCTGACACGGTGTTCTAACATATTTACAGGCAGGGGAAGAAATAAATCACTCTGTATTGCCACATTCACAGCAATTGTCCTGGATTCTCAGTAGGGCTGCTTTAGCTGGTCCCAGGCCACAGCAACCAATAGAAAAACATCCTGACTCACTGGGTCAGAACAATAAAGTCAGGGACAAGAACATCTGGGACATTGCACGCAGCTGGAATCTGTTCCAACATGCAGGTTTCTGCAACAGCTTTTGGCTAAAACTTTACCTCCTGTTGTGTTGCCTATCTAGTCATTATCTTAAAAATAAAAAGGGAGAAGGAATGAAGACAGTGATGTCAGCAAAAGTGAACAGCTGCAAGGAACTTGTAGATAATTAGATAGCTAACGCTGATCCAAGGCTAAGGATTTGGAAAAAGTAATTGGACACACAGGCATTCTGCTCAGCTTATTAGCACAAGCATGGCTAACATGTCAACAGGTACATGCTAGGTGATGACTGGTATTGGTTAAAAGTAAGTGTAAACTTCCAGATTGGAACAGAAGAGTTTTTACTCACTTTTGCATCTTGTATATCCTGTTACATTTGTGCAAGGCACTAGAGAATCAGGCACATTGTTCTGTGTGGAAACTGTTTTATGACTAAGATGATCTGAGTTTTAAAGTCCAACAGTTTCATACAGGAGCAGTTGGAGCACAGTCCCATATTAAAATTGCTATTAAAATTTTCCACTTCTAAAATGATCTCATTTTACAGATCTTTCAGGGGATGGGGGAATGGGGAAGTGGGAAATAGCTTTGTTCTAATAAGGAAACTGCTAAAGAAAAATATTCGGGATTAATACAGTTGATCTCCCCTCTGATACTGATGTTGGCAATTTCTGTTACCAGTATCAAGAAGTGGCTAAATACATAATAATAGTAACAATAAAACAGATCTTTACATTTTTATATCAAGTTCTGGCTCTCAACATATATGAACCCACATCCAAATCCCTGCAGGACACAGAGACTGGGCGATGTGCTCAGGCCATTCCTTCTGACTTCCCTGGGAGGTCAGAGACAATGACCTACCTCCCACAGAGAAACAGAAAATAGAGGAATTGGCATGTACTGATGACAATAAATGACCACAGCATTCAGGCTAGCTCTTCCTTGGGAAAACAAAGAAATCAGACTGTTTTGGAGAGGTCAGTGCAGATGTGCGAGATAAATCAGGTGTCAGGAGGACAGCAATGCAGCTCAAAGCAACACAGAAGCAAGAGACTGAAAAAAGGAAGAGGTTACTCCAGATTATGCTCAGTACTGCCAGCAGAGGAAAGGCTTTGCTGACATTTCTGTCCTTCCTAGGTGTGTCAGGATCATGAAGGGATTTCGGTGGGCACTGAAGTGCTCATGTGACATGAAGTGATCGGAGCTCAAAACACAAAGCCACTGGTGCAGGCCCAGACAGCCGTGCTGTCCTGCTATTGTGGCCTTGGGTGAGACGTGGTAACTCCAGAAGTGCCTACTTATGAATCAAAATGCCACAGCCATAAGATCCAAAACTGATTTAATATAAACTGCTGATTAAAGATCGTGTAAAAATACTGGTAACTTAGTTTTGTCCTGGCAGGATTTATCAAGTACCTTTCTGCCCTCTGCCTTGCTGACACCAACTTTCTCTCCTGTTTTGATGGTTTGTGGCTTTTGTCCTTTACATAATCCATATCCAATTTGTACCAGAGGGCAATCTGGTCTGGTGACAAAACCATTCTTCTGTGCAGAAATTCATAAAGAATAATCTTATTACAACAATTCATAAAGTGCCCTTGGGAAAGGTGCTCACAATGCCATGACATTATAGAAACAATATACAATCTGACACATTATTTTAAAAAAAATCCTCCAAAGCAAAAAGGAGGGGAACAACAAATATATAGGCAAATACTGTTAGTCTGACAACAGTCAAATTAATCATGGAATGCTTTATAGTCTTGGAGTGCTTGTAAAAATGGGGGGGGGCAAATTGGCAGGAGTATCTTGGAAAAGTCCTAAATATTTTAAGTTCTATCAAAGTAAGTACGCCACCAGTAAGCCCTGTGTTTGAATATGAAATGTCTGTGAATTACTATGAGGTATTTTACTATGGAAGCTGAAAAAATACAACATCTAAAGAAAACCCACGACCCACATTTTACTAAGAGGAAAGAAGATAATACAGTGGTTATGTATATCAACTGACCCTTAGTGTCTTGATTTTTTCTATTTGTAAAGAAAACAATCTTTCTCCTCCCTGTTGATTCCAGATTTTATATACACATATAAAACTATATAATATATAGTTTTACATATATGTATACACACACATACAAAAATACTCATACACACATATATGTGTATATATTTTAGGGTCTTACTAGCTTTCAGAGTCTATTTTTCTTTTTTCTTAATGACTTAGAGAACACAATTGGGCAAAAAATCAAGTAATTGCATGCATGCAAGCATATCTTGCCACTTGTGCATGTAAATTACACAACTGTAAATAACTGCAGAAATAGCATGCTCAAATTAGGCACCTGATTGCCCAATTAACTTGTTCACAGAAAATCAGATGATAACCTTCAGTATCTCCTATTATAGATTTTTCTTTTCCATGCTACCTTACTGAATCCATAGTGTATATTCCAAACAACTGCATTGTTATTCTGTGCTTTTACACAGGCACAAGCAGCACTGCACACTTAATAAAGCTATCAACTGAACTTTGGACCACATTTCAGAAAGTTGTTCAGATATTTAAAAGTTCCCTTATTTCACTGAGAACAAGCCAGCTCAGACAATTTAAAAAAAAAAAAAAAGAAGAAAAAGATTTGGTCTAATTTTAATTGGTTAGAATATTATGAAAGAAAAAAAATAACCCAGGCATTTGCAGCCCTTCATGCTGCAATTAATAGGCAAAGTTTTGCTTCTGTGTCTTTGATTTTTTTAAGATGTCTTGTTTTTTTTTATAGGCAAGTATTATTTAACCATATACATTCATTTCCTAGTAAATCCTTACTTTATTTTTGCTCTGAAATAATCATTAATTAACAGTAATTTGATACAAGTTGAGACAGAACACCAGCTTGCCGCACTCTGGTGCGTACTTCCTAATGGACAGAGAAAGTAAATGACCCAAATCTATCAAAGTACTGCAAGCAGAGAAACTTTTTCATTTGTATAACAAAATGATTTAAGAAATTGATTTTTACCATAAATAACGTTGCTCCTTTGCTGTGGTACTTCTTTTTCTGAGATGATGTTGTGGAAAGGGGGTATTTTCTTTACCAATTTTTTGCATCAAATAAATCTTAGTAGCTTTAACAGAAAAAAAAAAAAGCTGAGCAAACCATTATCTAAAAAAAATATCTCTCAAATAAGAGAAAAGGAAGCAAAAGCAGAACTGCTGGGCTGGATCATGTCCCTGAATAGATATTACAAATAATCATAGTGGCTGCAAGTACCAGTTCTTCATAGGCCTCCTGCAGCAACAGCCGTGCTGGTCCTACTGTTCATACTCTCTCAGAAAGGGGAGAGTGGTAAGAAAAGCTACTGGACTGCCAATATATTCTTATGGGTTTCAGTCAAGCATCACTGGCTTTCTTCTCTCAACTTCTCGTGACAATATCTGCTGGTGACTTTACACTGCTGCTTTTCTTCCTCTAGAGGGTCAAAATCCAATTTGGTACTTATATTACTTTGTTCCACTCCACTGGTCTGTGACTGGTTTAAAAATCTTCCAGGAGCATTGCTTGTCCTTCTTGCAAATTCAGATTTTGCTTTTCCCCTATAAGCAAACAAACAAAACAAACAAACGAAAATCCCAACTCCTCCCCACATCCCCTTTCCAAAAATATATTAATGATCATTCATATCAGGAGAATTATTTAGCAGTATCCAGTCTCAGTACAGCTTTTGTTGAGAAAACTGTAGCTTATACGACTCTGAAGTGTTTATTAGAAAGCTTTCAAAAAGATATCTTCGTTTCAGGAACAGAAAACTTGATCAGTTTAGCAGATACAGATGTTCACAGCACAGAGACTGAAATGGTTAAAAATTATCCTAAGGAGCAAGTAGCTCACGGAGTTAGCAAAATAATTAACTTTTTCCTTTCTTTTACAGAAAAACACTAATAGCTGCTCTGGTTTCCATGCTTACTAAGACAGAATTTTGTTGTATGTTCTTGGTTTTGCTTTTTTTTTTGCGCTATTGCTCCACACAGGTTTTAATTAGTGCTTCTCCTTGGCTACAAGTGCTTCACTTTGAAATACAAAGCTCTTTAAAAAAAAAAACAACAAAAAACATCCCAAAAACCCAAAGCCCCCAACACCACATCACTGGAGGGGAAAATGGGAAGTGATACAGTGCAGTTGCAGCAATCTGGTTCTGCTGTTGTCCTCCCCCATCCCCAAATCCTCTGCATAATTTCAATTGTTAGTCGATGAACCTTTGGCAGGCCTTCTTCCATCGGCAGGCAGTACACCACATATCTCTGTTCTCCATCCCATAGACCTTCCGACACTTTTTCCCCTCCCCTCTAGGCTTCCTGTCAGAGAGAAAGGGAAGCTCGTTAAGGAGATGCTTTAGTAGCATTGCTTTTCACCCTAAAATCAGGACAACAATCTCAATGGAGTGCAGCAGGCAGAGAGCCCTGGGTGTTTCACGGGGATTTGGGCTGTTTTCAAGTCAGCTGGGAGCTAATGAAGCAGACAGACAGTCATAGCCATGACTCCACAGCTCTGAGCGACCAGGCCTTCTCCTCGCCTGGCTTCCACAGCCTGTGCAGCAGCTGCTGAGCCTTCTCCTGACTTTAGCCAGCAACTAAACCTGGACTAATAAATTGTAGTTTAGCCACATGAAATGCCTTGATGGACAGTCATAGCTGTTCCACAGTACAGGCCAGGTCACGTCAGGCAGAAGTGCTGCAGAGCTGTGGTAAAAATACTTGGCATAGCTTGTAGCATCAGATCTTGACCACCAGCAGGTAGCAGCCATGCCAAACGGGAGAAAAGCTACCAGCTCCTAAGCTTGCCAGTCCTTCCTGCACAGTTTGCTCTGAGCTCACTGACTGAAAAACAAAGTGAGTGAAAAGTTTTAACCCTTACCCTCACCTGCAGCACGTTTGTATGTGCTCCTTCTCTGTTGTCCCCAAAGCCAGCAAGGTGGGCAGCACCTGCTTTTACAGCTATAAAAATTGTCCTGCTTTCCCTCTTACGACCACACTCAAAAGTTCTCAAGTTTAGAAAACAATCCAACTAACTGTATTCAATACACAGCAAGCCAGCAAACCTGAGGAGCAATGCTTCACCAAGCAACTCAACATTCACTACAGCAGTGCCAGCTGTCATGGCATCTTGAAATGAAATAATTGTACTGACAGAATTGTTTAATACAGGTATTACATGTTGCATGGCACATGTGGGAATTGCCTGGTGATTCCTCTCTTGCATGCCTACACATTTTCTGATTACTGATCATTAATTAATGGGCACAATCCATGAACTGGGGAAGATTCTGAGTTTGGTTTGTAGCATACACAACAATCTGAGAGTCCTGAAGAAAATCAAAAGCATGAAAACTTTTTTTGTCTCATTTTAGGGTATAGTCATCTTTAAGACTGGGAGAAATAAAGAGTTTCTTTACCAGAAGAAATTTAGCATCACAGTTTGATTTTTTAACATAATTTTTGAACACTTTTAAAGTAGATTCTGGTCAAACATCAGTTAACTTTAATGGAAGTGAATGTAGCTTATGTCTAGGAAGACAAGGCATAAAAAGCTTTGCCTTGATCTAATCTATTGCGAGATATGTTTTTTTATAATTCAGTTGAAGTCAAATACCATTCTGACTGAATGGTGGTGAACATGTAAGATGGCCCAGCCTTTCAGGGAAAAAAGCAAAGCCACCCCATGTAGTTTTAGGATGCTTCAGCTGGGGCAGTGGATCTGGGCAGCACTGCTTTACAGGATAAATTTAGGACTGCATGTGAACTCCAGACGTGCCTGGTGTAAGGCATGCAGTTTTGCTTCAGTCTGCCTTTTTAATTTTGCAGTACCTCACTCTTCCCCTGAACTTTACCTCTGATGGTAATGAAAAGCAAAATAGATTCTGAACGGTTACTCTGAAGCATCCTAGTAAGAAACTGCCTGACAACTGCAAGTGGGGTTGGTGGTGTGCCTTCCCTGTTTCTCTGGCCACTGATATCTTATTTACTGAATGCCCTCCAGGTTCTGAGGCTGCTGATGTGCCAGCAGGAGCTAATGGTCCCGTACCTCAAGCCAAATGCTACTCTAGGCGGTGACGAAAGAACTGTATGGGACTGTTTCTGCTCTCCACTCCCTGCAGGACGATTATGGGTTGGTGAAACCTGCCAATACAGACAAAAAGGCTGCTTATGAAGAACATACACATATGAATGCAGTTTAAACACTTTTTCCCAGAAAATGCACATTCATTGTGGCAAGCATACCCAGGAAAGGTGATTATATAACATACAAACATAAGTAAGCTATAGGTTTATTTAGAAAGATGTCTATTTAGCATTAGGTACATTGCAATTGGCTCCAACTTTCTCCAATTTAAGCAAAGAAAATAACTGGAAAAATAAACTCTGTCCTGTGTTGAGATCAATACCAATAACTTGCTATGAAATAAAGGGATTCCCACTTGTTGCTTCCATCTGTGACTAGGCATTCCTTCTGAGAGATACCGGTGGAGAAGGGGCTTTGCTGCAGAGCAGTTACAATGTGCCCCCTTGAGGTTTAATGGGAGTGCAAGGGAGCCCTTCTGATCAAGGCTGCTGACAAGAGGTACAGGATTATCTCCTTGTTCTGCACAGTAACCTTTTCAGCAGTCATCCTCTTTGTGAATGTTCATGAGGGGAGGGTATAGTTTGGTCTTCTGACACTTTATAAAGAAGTTTCCTACGTGAGCTTGGGGGTTGGCAACATTATTTGAGTAATCACATGGCATAATGCTTGGCCTTAAATAATTCCTAAATTATTTACCATTACAGTTTTATTTTGCTCCTGGGTAAAGACCACAACAACTTTACATCTAAAACACTACAATAAAATTATGCACAGTCATTTTTAGTTGTATATTGAGCATAGCAAGCTTCATTTGGGTATCTGGTGCATGGAGTCAGCATCCTGCAGCCCGGAAATGCTACAGGTTTTCAATCCTGCCTTTTTGAAGTCTTACAAGATTTGGAAGAATAGGAACTAACTGACCTGACTTAAAGAGAATTACTGTATGTACTTTGATTTTTGATACAAAGTCTATTTTATATCTACTACACAGTAGCAAAAAACTAACTAATGCTTGTAATGGAGTACAGCCACTCTTTCAACTTTTACTCTCGGATGGTAACTGCGGAAACTTCTGATTTAACTGCATGTGTGGCTCACACTCTAAACAAGTTTAGACCATTACTGATATATGAAATATACCTGCAAAGCTTGAAAGAAATTTCCTCTCTCTCTGCCTGCTTACCATAAGTCATGCTTTATACATCCAGAGGCCACACTAGCTCCTTCTATCACTCCAGAATACTAAGGGTAGCTTGTTGTCTACTACTTCTTTTTCCAATCTTTTATCAACTGCTACCCTTGTTTACCTAAGAATGATTGAAACACTGAAGATGAAATTCAAAGTAATAGCATTTTTATAGTATTTGGCATTTACCACACACTGCACAGTTCTCCAGTCATTACCAACAACCAGAGATCTCATTCTGCTGGGGTTCTGAAACATTTTAAAAACCTGAAACTATTTTGTGTCTACCACTACTAACTGACACTCAACATATTAGCTGGTTTTCATTGAACAGAAGAGTACTTGGATGGCCTCCCATGTTATAAGCAGTTACCCTGATTACTTCCAAACACAGAACAGGTTTGAGCAGTAATTGCAGCGTGCAGATTGCCTCTCCCCTCGCCCTCTATAGAGAGGGTGTCTGCACAATGGTTTCCACGGGCTGGCACACCGAGGCAGCCAGACTGCACTGAAGATGAGTTTCATGTATCTTGATCGGCTTTGCAGCAGGTCTAAACAATACCAGTCAGCTGTTCTCCTCTGCAGGGGACACAAGGAGCAGATTAAGAGGAAGCCCTGAGAATGCAGTCCTTTGCCCTCGGAGGCTTTTCTCCTCTGAAGCGCTGTTTAACACAGAGTGAAATGACAGTGTTTGTTTGAAGCAAGGACCTGGAGTTTCCAGTTACAACTCCTGGTGGGAAACTGTGGTTACAGAGAAGATTTGTGATCTGTAAACATCAGGTTATCGAACTTAAAGATCTCGCCTGTTCAACCTTTTTGGGTTATGAGCAGGCAGTGAGAAGCCAGTATCACACAGTGGAGATCACACTGGCATTCAGAAAGACTTCTATCCTACATTACATAGAAGTGGAACTATATAGTCATTATGTTAGGCCCTCCACTACCAACAGATACAGACTTCATCATTGTTCATTCCACTTGCATAATTTAATTCATCCTCCTTGTACATCCTCAGGCTGTGCCTGATTTTTTCTCCTAGTTCAGTCTCAAGTGGTAGAGCAAGCATCATCCTGTTTATTCTGCTTCATGCAGAGAACAGCAACAGCACCTAGCAGTGACTCGTAACTGTGCCAACACTCACTCTGGCACCTGCAAAGTTATCTTAGGAAAATGGTAAGAAAAAGTGTATTTCCCATGTGCCTTGGGAATCTAACTTATGCATGATTGAGAGCACAAAGGAGTTTGGAAGTCCCCCTAATTACAGAATCACAGAATCACAGAACTACAGAATCTTCTGAGTTGGAAGGGACCCACAAGGATCATGGAAGTCCAGCTCCTGGCCCTGCACAGGACCATCTCCAAGAATCGCACCATGAGCCTGAGAGCATTGTCCAGACGCTTCTTGAACTCAGACAGACTTGGTGCTGTGAACACTTCCCTGGGGAGCCTTTTCCAGTGATCAACCACCCTCCGGGTGAAAAACCTTTTTATGATATCCAACCTAAACCTCCCCTGACTCAGCCTCATGCCGTTCCCTTGGGTCCTGTCACTGGTCATAGGGAACAGATCAGTACCTGCCCCTCTACTTCCCCTCACAAGGCAGCTGTAGACTGCAATGAGGTCTCCCCTCAGTCTCCTCTTCTCCAGGCTGAACAACCCAAGTGACCTCAGCCGCTCCTCCTCCCTTACGACTACAAGACTTCTAAATAAATGCCTGTGTTTAGATGCTGTGAATACCCCCAAGCCTGAATCAGCCACATACTGAACCCTGACTGGTCCAGCTGTATGTTTGGTTTGTTTTGAGGTGCTCAGGAACCTGCTGGTAAGCATATTCACATATAATATATAATATAGCTTTTCTAAAGTAGCTACGCTCGGTGTAAGAGTGGGAATTAAAAGTGCCCTGTTTTTATACGGCAATATCTAATCTACTTTGAAACAGGAGAAATAAAACTTTCATTTAATATGCTGGTATTTATTTAACATCATTTGGCATCTGTACCCTCACTTACTGCACATAATTTTTCACTGCAGGCAAGCTTTCGTAATTCATAAATGATCTCACTGCTGACAGAACAGTCAAATGTGTGCAAACCTAAAAGATTTTTTTCTTATTATTATCTTTTTTCTTTGTTAAACAGCCTTATAAATGTTGTTAGAGATATAATGGCAGTTCATATGGTTCCCTGAGCAGTTTATAATTCTGCATCACTGCTTCCCCAGGCTTTTGTATTGGGAATATTTTCAAATTGTACTTAAATCATTGGCATCTCCATACAATTCTCAGAAAGTGATTTTGCATTTCTTAAATTCTTTTGAGAACTCTCTAGTCTATAGCCACTGATCAGCGTTGTTGCCTGAACAAGTAAACTCGACACATACGTGTCTAATCCTGTCCTCTTAAGTGTCTGATTTACAATGTGGCTAATTGCATTTTTAGATTCCTGGCACCAGTTTTTGCTACACCACAAAAGGAGCCAGTTTCATAATTACTCCATATCAACCCCATTGTTGGGAAATCAAATTCTCAGGGAACTTTGCAGATAGCACGCTCTGTCAAGGCACTCTTGTTGAAATTGCTGCCAGCATGATGTCTTTCACTGTTAGTTGTTCCTTGATGGAATTTAATAAATATTCATTGGCAGAGTGCATTGTAATTGATTCAGCCACTTTCATTTTTTATCAGCTCTGCAGGATGCCACAGCCTCTGCAGAAAGTCTCCAAGATTTGCCAAAGGTTGACAGTAAGAAGCTTTAGAGATTCACTTGGTGAAGAGAAGGGAAGGAAATAGTATCTCTTATCGCCTTGTCTAATATTCGCTGTCATAAGAAAAAAAGCTGTATGGTTCTTTGGATAAGCAATGTGCCTTATATAACACACTTTAAAAATTCATAAATTCATAAAGTGTAATATTAAATGAGATGTTATGATATCAAATAGATTTATGATTAGAGAATATCAATTTATAATGAAAAAATATTTCCAATAAAATGAAGATACACTACATTAATATCTATTTATTATAGAGATTTTCCACTATCCATAAATAGTGATTTACATAGTTTTTTTCAGCATTCTCCATGCCAGGCACTATAAGCCGAATCCCTCCAAACTCTTCATAAAGGTTTTTCTCTCTCCCTGCATACCCACACTTACACCACAGTGCGTTTAGGGTCACTGGAAGTCTATGTTTAAGCAAACTCTGCATTTCTGCAGTCCTGTTCATGGATTCAGGCCTTGCACACCAGCTTTTTTGAAGAAAGGTCAGCGTTAAATTTACATAATACATCTTCATTAAAAAGCTGTCAAACTGCAATATGCATTAGTATCAAAACACAATAGATATTGGATGCATTTTCTGTATAAAACAACAATTTTCTGCTATCAGTAGGGTCTACACATTTGGAGCCTCCTAAAGCTGGACTTTGCATTTCATCTTACTTTTTCTTTCAAGTTGCCTTTCAAGAGTCCATTTAGGTAACTGCCTGAATCCAACTGGCCTGTTAGCATAACCATCACCTCGCTGAATTTCCATCTGGTTTTTTAAGAAAAGGAGCACACAGTGCTCTGCATGTATCGGAATGTTTTGTAAGCATATAGTTAAAAAAATATACTACAGATTCACTTCTTTTTTTGTAGACAGTGATGCAAAAAAAAAAAGAGTAAATGTACTGAATTAAAGAGACTGACAAAGGTGTTAAAACCAGCCATGCTGGCAAACTGAGGCACATATTTAATTTGTTTCTTTTTTGTTATCTGTCTCATTTACTTCTATCACTACGCATTGTGAAACAAAACAAAAAGATCTAAAAACTTTTTCCTCCTTTTTTTTTTGATGTTCACTTACTGGAATGCCGGTGAAGGTAACTGGAGGCGACTGCCAAGAGATGCTAAAGCTACTGCCATTGGGAGTGAATTTTGCTGACCCTGGAATGTTCACCGGAGGAGTGGCCTGTGTGAAAAGAAAATATTATTCCAGCAAGAAGAGTTATTCTTCTTCCAAAGCATTTCTAAGGATCTTTCACTCCTCAAAATGGTAAATCTATGAGAGACTTTCCAAGGCAGGAAAAAACTGCATGGTGACAAGCATTTTACCCTTATAAGACAGATAATCATGGGTAAGCCAGTAAGGAAGGGACACAGTTATATTTATATATCACTATTCCTAAACCTTGTTTAGAGAAAGATGACAGCAAGAAGCAAAAAATACTACAAATGATCACCTGTTCCATGGTGATGAACAAGGCCATACTTAAACTGATAGCAGCTGGTTTATACAACTGAAATGTGGATAGTGAAGCTTCTTGGACAAAACAAATCAATAGTAAGGGCTGGCCATTTCTGATTTATGAGACAAATGTTAAGAATCAGCCCAATTAAAACAGTCTTTCCTATTAAAAACAAGAAGCTGAAAATCATCCTGGGGATTCAAAAAACAGCTCTTAAATACTAAGCTCAAGCAAATATTTAAGGACTCCTGAGGTCCTTGAACTCCTACATTCTTCCCATCTGGGATGTAATACCCAGTGCTGCCCTGGAGTGCAAAAACAATAATCTGAGCTCAGACAGTTGTGCATCTTTCATCTTGTGCCTTTCCTTTGGTTTTCTCATGGGCTATGAATCCTCAGGAATTCTTTCCCACCCCTTTTTGAATCCTATTTAATTTTCAGAATAGGAAATTCATAGCTGTAAAGCTACCCTGCATAGCAGGAGTGTGAGCAGCCACCATGAACACAGGTTCACTTTGACCCCTGCATTTCAATTTTTCACCACAAAAAAAATCCCTCCTTAAACTTATTAAGAACTTGCTAAAATGAGTTTTCACTCCTGGCTTTCAGTTGCCTGTGCCTGACAATGCTGCAATACACTCATTTAAGTAGTGTTTGTGTTTGAGACTGCTGAAATTGTCTCACTGCTTCAGGGGAGAGAGTTCTTTCCTGAGCTGCTGGGCACAGAGGAGTGATGACAAACTACAACCTGATAGTCCCCACTAAAGATAATCTTCAGAGTAAACAAGTGCTGAAGCAATCCCCTGGAGTCTCTCCAAGGAAAAGAAAGTGAGACCACCAGATGCCTCCGCGTACGGCAGTGATGCTCTGTGGGCTGCCGAGCCTGCTGACAGCTCCAAGAGAATCCACACAGACATGCAGAGCAAACATCCGCTGAGCTCCATAAAATATAAAAGCTTTGCTGAAAGGCATCAAGAAAATCTGGCAACTCCCCTGTTCAAACGGGACTCCTGACAGAAAGAACTGGAGTCAGCTGGATGAGCAGTGAGACAGCACTGCCTCTGCTCAGTATCCCACAGGGGTATCAGCTCAAACCTGAGGTCAGCACAGCAACTTCCTCAGGTATTTGAATAAGACCTGAAAGGGAAATACTAGACGCTGAAAGAGCCCACCCGTAGTTCCTCTGTAGCTAAATTTAATAGGTACAGGCACAAGTTTTATAAAGAAACACAAAGTACGTGAAGTTTAAAATCAACGTAATTTGCAGTTGCCTGAAATACCACAGTGCTCAATTCTTTTTTTCTCAGTGCCTAAATATCTACATCAGACATGATCAGACTTAGACAGTCAGTCACCCTGTTCAGTTGTTTCCCAGATGTGCATCTTTGTTCATCAAGCACTGTCCCCTTTTTCAGGCTAACATTTTAGACAATCTCTTCCATAAGGTATTCAACCATAACATTACAACGAACTGAACAGTTTCTATACCCCGATCTCACTTTGCTCAGAGGCCTCCATCTAATTTCCAGTCAAAATATATTCATGGGTAACTTATAGTTATTTGTTTGTACCTACACTGTCCTTATATTTGAAACAGTACGTGTTCATCCTCTTCCCCTTTCATACTTGTCCTCTCACTTTCTTCCCAGGCAGCATCCCATCCTCTCCTCACCCCTGCTTTGCCTGAGGTACCAGTCCCTGGGCTGGAGAGCCTGTTCATGTCCTCTCTGCCCTCCTTCTTCAATGCTGATGATTTTCTTTCTCTCTCTTCTGACCGGAGCCCATCACATTGAATTTGGTTGACCAGAACTCTACTCAGGATCTCAGCTCTAGTTATCTGGGAGTCTTGTATAATGGCCTTAAAATTCCCTGTCTCTCAGAGATATTTCTTATCCAAGAGAGCTGACAACTATTTTTTTCCCTTCACAGTTCTATTGTTGTTGGCTCATGGTCATTCTGTGCTTGATTAATGAACAGAGGTTTCCTTCTCACAAAATTTTCTAACTACCCCAGTTTATAGCAGAAAAATCTCATTAGTTCCCTAGGCGCAGGACTTTGCACGTTCTGACATTAAACTGCATCCAAAACCTATTATTCTCAAGATCACCCAGTCATGTAAGCATGATATATAACTCTGGTACTGCTGATGTCTCCTGAGTTTGTTATCACCAAACTTTATTGTATTATTTGTGTAGTACCAAAATGATTTAATGAAAATGAGGTCAGGGCCAAGAACAGCTTTTCATTCAACTCCACTAACATTCAAAATAACTCATTGCTGTTTTCCGTGACTTTCCAGTTCTCTATCTTACACTAAATTTAATCTCTAGCCTAATAAATACTGCTTATATGTTTTAAGATCAAATGCACTCCTTGAATCCAGAAAGATTTGTTCTTCTGTACTGCTCCCTAGACTGTTCTAGTATCATCTTTCTCTGGGGTTCCTCCATTGCAGTTAACCTCAACTGCAGTACTTTCCACAATTTCTTCAATTATTTTTCTAAATTTTTCCTCACCCATAAGACTGGGTCAGAGAAGAGTGTCAGGACTTGCCTGGCTCACTTCCTGTTTATACCTTTCTTACTACAAGTAGTCTACCTGACACTTTCCAATCATACAGGAAACAGCAATTAACAGATACTAATTGTTTAGGATTCCTGCGACCCAGTTTTGGGCTCCATATTTTTTTTTCCTTTTTTAACAGGAATCCTTGGATGAACAGTATTCAGCCTCCCTTATCGAAGTTCCTTGAGCTGTGAATTTTGCCTCCACTCCCAATGAAGTAATTTCCACTTTCTCCTCTGGCTGGTGAGAGCTCAATCTCCACCCTGCCTCCTGGCTCTTCCTGCAGGACTGGAGAGATCCTGGCACAGGATACCACTGACCTCTTCTGCAGAAGCTGCCTCATTTGCAAGGACAGCCTGAACACTTGAGCAGGGACCTTGCCTCCTGCTTCCAGTTTGAAAGCCATGAACAGTGTGGACTCTGTCACTTCTCACTGATGAAATAAAGTATTGAAACCAGAGCAACTTGAAAAGAAGACGTGGCTCAGACACTTGTAGGCTCACGTTGTGGAACACATCAATTCAAATCCAATTTAAACACTTGATTTAGTATTTCCTTAGCCAAGTGCTTTACTCAGAGGCTGCTTATCAAACAGGATGGTGTGAATCTCCAAAAAGCAGAGTAGACTGTCACTACTGCAAATTCCAAATGAAGCAAGACTCTTCTCAATAGCCTAGACTTGGCGCCTCACTCTCTGAGGCAGGGCTTCAGCTACACTGAGATAAAAGTCTCCTAGCTGCCTTGATCAGTCCCCAGGTTGGTGTGTTACCTGATTCAGCTTCCACGTGAGATACCAAGCTTCAATGCTCACAAAAGTCTAAAACAAGCCTCTGAATTCTGTATGGTTCCCTCTGGCCTTTTAGTGGGTCTGCTCCAAACACACAAAGGTTTTATCGGCACAATGAAAGTTATTGAATCTGATAAATTTAACAGAGTTCATTTCTCTGGTGCATACACAGGTCACGGACCACACTACTTCAAAGCCTCTATCCCTCTTTTCTCATATGGTATCCACACCAAAACATGTCAAATTTTAGTGCACTTTTAAAATTAATGCTTTCTGTCCAAACTTAGTTGGAAGTTTTTGGTACAGCAATTTTTGCCATTTGAAAAGCATTACCTCTAAGAGTAGAAGGATACCATCTATGCCTTTTCTTTCTTCTTGCTCTACTTCACATATGCAAACTGAGATCTTACACTGTACATACCGAGGAAATTAATTGTTCCTGACATCCTTCAGGCACTTGTCTACAAACACATCCAGTACAAGCAGAGCTGAAATGAAGACTCTGGGAGGGATTCACCTGACTTAATAAGAATTTTTACAATGCAGGAGACCACATCCGAGCATGTCACCTTGGGCCCTCCTTATGATCATTGAAAAATTCACTAATGTAGGCAGTGGGATTACAGAGCAATTCTTCCCAACCTGAAGTATGCACCTATGTGTGGCTGGATAAACAGCATCCCAAAATCTAGAGTGGGCACATAAACAAACAAACAATTAGCTCAGAAGCAGACATCTACATTTAAATGAAACAAGCCCCTTGGGTTGCCCTTGAAAACTTTTCAGCCCATTAAAACTCATGGCTTTTTAAACTTGGCTCTTTAAAACCCAAACACTGTGATCTGACATTTCTTCATTCATTAATGACTTCACTGTAATCCCTGGAGCTCACTCTGACTGGCATTACCTGGTAAGCATGGTCCGTGTGTACGAGGTAGAGGTTGGTAGGAGCTGAGCGGCTCAGAGGTGTCATCAATTTAGTCTCAGTTTTGGCACAGGAAGTTTCAGGACGGATTGCATCTTGGGTGGGAAAGGAAGGAGGAGATGCTAAAGATGGAGAGACTGGGGAAAGACTGCTTAAGCCATCAGCTACTGAGTCCGTGTTGAGCCTGATTTCTGTATAGTAAAAATCCTCCTCTCCATCACTGTAGTCAGACTCTCCTATACGTCTGTATCAAGACAAAGAACGAAGAACTGATTAAATGAAAGCAAAAATGCCAAGGTAAATTTTAAATTCTAGATGCATGAGCAAATATATTCATATTGTCAATAAATTAATATTCGAAGTTTCAACCCTACCTACTTTATCAGCATTCTGGCTGCAGGAAAGGGGCAGAGGAAAAGAAAATCATCTAGTCTGAAGGGAAAAGAAGTAGGAATTACTTTTTTTTTCTTTCGGTGTTACTCCTGAATAATTCTTTGACCTTGGAGTAGATGTTTGACTCCATCTTAAGTATCACCTTCTCATTCCTACCTATTGTAAAGTTAACAAGAACCTCAACACACTCTGACTTTGGCAATGACCAAGCAGCCACAGAATGACAGGTAAAGATAAGAGACACAGGCAAGATATAATGTTCATTAATGTTACAGCAAATAATATATAATAAGTTACTTAAATAGACCAAACATAGTTATGGCTGTCATTCACCATAACTCCTTAGCATAACACAAGAATTTGCTAGAAAACATCTTCACCATGCAACTCAGATACAGGTAGAGAAGGGACTTACACAGGCTAGCTTGCAAGGGCTAAGGCTTTCTGGTCCAGAAGCAGACTTGTTGAAGGAAGGGATGTAGGTTTCATTGCCTTAACGTTAAATCTGCTGCAGGTTTGAGCGCAAACGCTAGCACTGAAGCAGCCCAGCCAAACCCCTATTTTAGTACATTCATAATCCACACAATATACAGAGGTAACTCACAGCTCACATGTGTATTTCCTCCCCAGTCTTCCATACAGGAAATCTGAGAGCCCTAAGCGTCCTCCTGCCTGCATGTCCATATCAGGGCTGAACACTGGGTCTCCCTTTTCCCACGCATGCACCCCAAAACCATCCCCTAGCCTGTTTTTCAGCCTGCTTGCCTGTATACCTCTACCTGAGGTCCTCTCACCACCTTACTCAATAGACTAGTTGAGAGACCATGGATCCAGCAGGCTTGAAAGGCTCTACCAGAAGTACCATCCATCAGACTGTAACTAGTTACTCACCAAAACTCCTCTCTCCAGCAAAGTTACTAACTCCAAATTCCAGGAAAGTTCTGCTTCTCCCTCTCCCACACCACAAAAAGGATGTCCCCATAATATAAATGGCAAAGCTACGTTCCTAACTGCATTTTGAGAGATCTGTTTCTGATACCCTTACTCTTAAGCCCAACAATAACTGCTATGACCTCCTCAAGACTATCCTGAGCTCCACATCAGATTACATCCACGTGGTCACTTTAATTTTTAAGCAGTGGGTAACACAGACCTACACAATAAACATGGATTTTCACATATATAACAGGAGAAGAACATGAGTCCCCACTGTAACTATATATGAGATAGCTAGGTCGCTCAGTGAACTGCACAGGAGACTTCAGTTGCAAACTAAACCTCTGAAACAAACTTGTATCCTAAAAGATTCATTTGCCTTTGCTTCTAGTCCAAGTAACTTAGCCATGCATCCTGGTTTTGGCTGAATAGTTAATTTTCTTCTGAGTAGCTGGTACAGTGCTGTCTTTTGGATTTTGGATGAGAATAATGTTGATGCTGAGCAGTGCTTACTTTTCAGTGAAGGACTTTTCAGTTTCCTGTGCTCTGACAGTGAGCAGGGGCACAAGAAGGCAGGAGGGAGCACAGCCAGGACAGCTGAGCTGAACTGACCGAAGGAATATTCCATACCATAGAATGTTGTGTTCAGTATATAAACTGGGGGGAGTTGGCTGGGAGCCACCAGTTGCTGTTTGGGGATGGGCTAGGCATTGGTCAGTGGGTGGTGAGCAACTGTATTGAGCATTATTTGTTTCTTTTCAGTTTTATTCCTCTCTCTCTCCTTTTCATTACAATTATTATCATAACCATAATTAGTATTATGAATATTATCTTTAATGTTATTAGTTTGTGGAGTTTTTTTTCAATCATTAAACTGTTCCTATCTCAACCCATGAGGTTTATTTTTTTTCCTTCGATTCTCCTTCCCATAAGAGAAGGAAGAAGATAGTGAGTAAGCAGCTGCACAGTACTGAGTAGCCAGCTGGGGTCAAACCATTACAACATGGAATTGTGGCTCATGTTTTTTTTTTTCAGGTTTCTTAGGTGCTTTGTGGTTTTGAGGGTTTTTTTGGCATTCATTTTTTTTGGTTTTGCATCAATTCAACTCAGAACTGGCGCAAGCATCTGACCTGATGTGAAACAAAGCTGGAAAGTATTCATGCAAGACCCTGAAACATGTCTTCTGCACAGCGTCATCCCAGATGTGATGTGCAAACAGCACGTACCATGTAAATGCCACTGAGTTGTGAGGCTGATAGGGATGTGCAGTGTGATCTAGAGCTGTATTTGACCTTTCAGAAAAGTTCACAGAACTTCAGGAAAGGAAGTGCCTCACTGTTGGAATAAGTGCTCATTTGCCTTGACCCACTACTCCACCAATTCCTCAGAAACCTAGGGATATGAAACAGAAAAGCCACGGACAATCCAGTTCATCTCCCCAGCCAAGTGCAATTGCTCCCCTGCCAGACCAAATCCTTTAGACTTCCGAAGAGACTGCTCTCTTACCCAAGGTGAATGGTCCGTATGTGTTTCTGAATCCCTGCAGCTGTGCTCAGTACCTTCCCACAGTTTTTCCACAGGCATTTGAACATCACCTTCATGGAGTTCTGAAAATTATGAGTAAATCATGGTTAGATGTATGGAAGTTGCATGGATATTAGGAAATATTTCTTCACTGAAAGGGGTTGGCAGCATCAGAACAGGTTGCCTAGGGAAATGATTGAGTCACCAGCCCTGGAAGTATTTAAAAGACGTGTTGATGTATTGCCTGGGGACATGATTTAGTGCTGGACTTGGCAGTGTTGGATTAACAGCTGGGCTTGATGATCTTAAAGGTCTTTTCTAACCTAAACAATTCTGTGATTCTATAATTCTATGAAGATAAAAGAAAAACCAAACCACCTAAAACAGATAAACAGTTACCAAACACTGTGAAGGTTCTTCCAAATTTGTGATGATCTAAGAGTCTCTGTTGAGTGTGTCACCCTACTGAATTCCACAGAATCCCAGTGAAAAGCTGCAGGAGCAGCTTGTGACAAAACTTTACCTCTCTTCATTCATTGGCAAAGTTTTTCATTTTAAGTTCCAGTTTGTCTCCCCACTAAAGGAGGTAGCTGATATAAAACTTTCTACACTTCTTTCAAAAAAAGAAAACTGATGAGGACTTCTCTCTGAATGCAAAGCACCTTCTTAAATTCAGGTCTTTCTAAAGCAAGCTCTTATAAATGTTTCCACTCATGGAATTTGCAAAATACAAAAAATATTGTGCCAGAAAACCATAGCTTTAGCTTCTGCTATGTCAATATTCACCCATAATCTGGAAAAAACTGCTTTTACTGCATTCAGAAGCTGCTGCTATGCTTATTCAGACAAGGGAATGAGAAGCCATCAAGCAGTGTTCACCATGTAAAAGAAAAAAAATGTGCATAATCTCATTTTAATATTCTTTTGATATTCTTTAATATAACTTCATTGATCTAAACTGAGTTATCACTGATTTAGAGCACAGCCAACAAGGTTATAAGCATCCCAATCTTAGATGTTTTGAAGACTGGAGAAAACCAGCCTTAATGTAAAGCACAGTGTGTGGTAACAACACAAATGTTGCAGAACTCTGTAGATATTTAAAAGCTAATTTTACTCGAAAATGAAACCAATTTTGTACTTTTTAAATTTAAAAAAATCTAAATAGTTTATACTTCTCAAAAATAATTTTCTCTATTATTACAGAACACATTATTAACACAAGGAAGAGCTTCAAAATATAGTATTATTATTATGTAATTTTAGTTACATGTAAGATTAGGTAAATGTCTTGAACAAAAGTTGACTTGGTGCTTTCTTCAGTTTGAACCCTTTGGAACTGCATGTCAGTTGATGGTTTCAGCATTTGCTAGAAAGATGATGGCTAGAATATAACTTACAAAAAATAATCTCAGCTGATGGGCTTTCTAAAATATAAGCTGATTGCAGTAACATGTTCTCATAGTTACTTCTCAGTCTAACATCTGTTTGAAAGTATAGTTGCTAAGGGATTTGGGACTTGAGGTACTCGATCACACGGTTTATATGAAAAATATCTACTTTGGCATAAAATTGCAAAATTCCATCTCTATTCTTTTATTTGATATTACAACTATCATTCAAATAGATACAGAATTCTTTTTTCCCCTCCAATTAAATACAATCTATCTAACAATTCTGACCGACACTTTTCTTACTTTTATAATATAATACTGAATACTACTATCAGCTCAAAATCACACAACCAACCACCAACTATGGCAACAAGATGAAGGCCATGCTTATCATTTAGGTTTTAGGAATTCCAGTGTGACATCACAAACACCCTGTGCATCTTTATGAACACAACATGGTTTAACATCCATCCCCAGTTTGAGGGTAAGACCATTTTCTTAGTTTCACTGTGGTTTTGATGCCATAAGGTCCTTAACTGTCAGTGTTAGGAGTTTGCAAAAACCAGTGTATTTTAACATAGTCAAGTGAGAGTTCACTGAGTAGAAATAAAGAACAAACCCTGTGCTTCAATTTCTGACTAGTTCAAAAATTGCCTATTCAGGTTTAATGTTTTATTTAAGAAAATAATGGAACATAAACGGTTTGGTGAGGAATAACTACATTAGTGGAAACTTTTAAGCAAACAACTTTCTTAAGGGGAAGTGCCTCCTAACATGACATTTTCCAAACACGAAATGGAAGAAACTTTAATAAGTAAAAGTAAGGTTACCAATCACTCTATTTACAGGCTTATTCCTTCTGACTTTTGCAGCCCTGAAGAAGAAATAACCTGAACATATTTATTTCAGCTTCTAAAGGTGCAAAGTTGTACTTAGATCAAGTATTCTGCTGTGGCCAGAATAAAAAAACCTGCAGGAAAGTAAGTTTATTTATAAAACCAAGTTTGGCATGGAATGTTATTGTTTATCTACATAAAATATTTGCCATACAAAGCAAAATCCCTGTGAACTAGAACAGATAGTGTAATAGACCTATGGTGGGTACATAAATAGAAATATTTGAAAGCAACTTAAAAAACAGTAAAGATGGCAGCTGCAAACCCATCTGTCTCATCACAGCTGAGCAGTGAGAATGATGTGACTATGATGAACGTTAACCGAGAAGCAGAAGGCAAACCAGCACACTTCTGCACCCCTACTCTCCTGTCCCATATGCCCCCAAATCATCTCTGTCTTTAGTTTAACAATCAGCTATAACTTCTAATTTATCATAACAGAGGTGTCCTCCAAAATACTTTTCCTTCTTAGCAAGACACACAAACATTTTAAAATTCTCTCCCACGATCAAGGGAAGAACAGCGTGGGTCAGCAAATAAGCAACTTCTGGAGCAAAAGGATAAATCTGAACAGGTTTAAACAATCATTAAAACTTCTTCCTGCTGGTGATGAAGCAATTAACTGTCTCAGACTGAGCCAGAAACAAATTCACTAAGGGGAATAATTTCTCTGTTTTTTCTCTTTACAAAAAGCCCTTTTTCATCTTGGTATGTAAAAATCTGTCCCGTTGTGTTGGGAGGGATGGAAACTTGGACTAGTGCCATCTCTTTGTTTTCTTTTTCTTCCAGAGGAGCTTGCTTGCTAGCATAAGAGTGCTTTTTGGGGTTAGTTTTGGACCCTTTTTTTTATTTTACATTGTGTTTTATTTAGTCTGCTTTTGCACTCTGAGGATAAATTTGGCCAATGCTAATACTGTATCAAAAGCCATCAAGTTGAGCTCTCTCTCTCCTTCTTTCACTCCATATGTTTGTGCAGAGAAAGCTTCACAGTATTAAGGTATCTGACATGCTGTCAGACAAACAGCACTTCCAGGGAACAAGGAGTATTAAGGTCATATCCAGTTTTTGTGATGACATATAAGGCTGCCTGTTGCATCCTGCACACAGAGGATTTGTCAAAGTAGGACAGAAATCCCATGAATGGCCAGAGGCAACACCTTCTGGAAATTACTCTAGTGTTTCCTGAGCAGGAGGCTCTGTAGAACCTCACCATCTGGCAGGAAATATGTGGTGCTGATGGCAGCATGTGTGTGCAGGAGGTGACCAGGTTGAATGAGACACAGTGCCTAGGCTAAGTACCTATGTTGAATACACATACAGAGCTACTGGGTGATTTCTCACAACAAAATAAGCCTATCAACAGCCTGTCTGCCCATGGGCATGGAATTTAACATAAGGCTAACCTTTCTCTTCCTAGGAATGGGTTCATCGAAGAGAAGGTTGCTTGTTTCACCTTCATCAATACCATCATCTGGCTGGGAAGGTGTCCGAAAAGTTTTGAAGCTATCAGCTGACAGAGGTGGAGATGGGGTGGATGGGTTGGACTGGTCACTGGGAGCATTCCAGCTCCAGTATCCACTGCTGCTGGTACTAGAAGGCACAAATCCTCCTTCTTTCCAAGATCCATTCAGGGATTCTGTCAAGAAACAACAACAACCGTCATTACGAGAGCATCATTGTTTTAGGGCTAAGGAGCTCTTTTTTCTAAGGCTTAGATGCCATGTTGGTAATTAACTGTACGTTTAATAAAGGAAAGCGAAAGCATTGGATGTAGAGAGGACAACCATATCTATCCCACTGCACACAAATTACATATTCCACATTTGATTTTTCCTTTTTTATTAAAAAAACCCTCAAAGTAAAAGGAAATGCTGGGTTTGGAAAAATAACCTGTTCTGGAGCATAAACAGCAATAAACAGTCAGATATTGCATGCATGATTAAAGGAGAACATTTAAATTGATCTTTAGAGGTCCCTGCAAACCCAAACTATTCTATGATTCTAAATACAACCTCAACTTTTAACAGGAACACGTGACTGTAATGGTCATGAGAGCAAGCTCCACATAGCCAAAAGGAAAGGGGACATACACTCTGAGCCCCAGAACACTAAGCAGATCTGCAAAAACATGATCTTCATCCCAGTATTAAAACACGAAAGAAAACCGTAATTACACTCTGTCATCTCATCATCTCTCAGTACACACGCCTCTGCCTACATGAGGCGGTACGTACCCCTTGGGATGCCCCATCTTCTTTATACAGGTGTGTTGATATGCATTTAGTTTCAGAACTGGAACATACAGACACTGGATCACCTCCACACCTACTCACTGGAGGAAGTGCCTCCTCACGGCAGCAGCTCCCCTGACATGAGGAGGCAGGCAGATACTCTAACGAATAGATTACACTCTACAGCACTGTGGGTGGGAGTAACAGCACTGCTTGTGCAGTGTGAGGCACAGCTTGAGCCATGCTTCATGTGCTGAGGTCCTCAGGCATTAGACATTGGCATGCCACTCTTCCCAGCCCTTAAAGGGCTTTTGGCAGGAGAGGAGTATGTAGGTCATCAGCTCAGCAAAGGCATGGCCTGAGCACATCCAGTGGTGCAGCCACAGGCAGCTCTGCCAGAAGCCCCAGGTTCTTACCGGGCTTGAGCACATGCGAATGGATGGTTTAGGTGTGGCTTCTCGCTAACTGAGGCATTGGAAGCTGTTCCCAATGACACTGTAGCGCCTGAGCATTGTGCAATACCTGACTTAGGAGCTGTTAAGCAAATAACTTCTTATCTGTTTATGAAACAATAGTTAAGTGTGAGACTAGTCTTTTCAAGCCAGTGCCTGCCTTTAAGAGTTCTGCAGAAGTCACTCCTTCACTCCTTCTCAATGTCTTACAGGTAAGTTAACTAATGATATCAGCAAGAAAGTAAGCTATCAAAAGCTTACCCCAAAACCAACGAATTTTTGGTTTTTTCCTCCTAATTCAGTTGGTTTTGGATGAAATCCTAAATCATTAACATCAGCTGCTCACAAAAGAGAATGCAGTGCCCCCTTGAGTAGGCAGCAGCCAAGTCCCGGAGTTACTGATTTACTGAGCAGGGCCACTCCGCATAAACTGGATCAACCCTCCCCCTCTACCCCTCCAATTCCTCTTTGAAAAAGGACATATAGATTTCCAGTAGCTAATAAGTTAACATATAAAACTGTCATGTTTTGGCTCATGATTACAGCCTTCATGTGACTGTAATGAAGGTGGGTTTTGTTTCTTATAAGTATTTGTACTTCAGTCTTGTGCCAAAGCCAAGAAATACATCTGGTATCAACTTGTGACCTTAGCATAGCTTAAAATTTCCATTTCTTAAGAAAAACAAAGGAAACAGCACTCTTTCAACTACTACTTTCTGATATATTTATGGTGGTACTTTGTATTCTCAGGGTTTAACAGCTTCTCCTCACCTTGCTGAGAAAGAGATGCAAATCAAGAACATTTTTAAAGTAGTATGGAAAAGGCTGAATGAGGTTGACAACAGCAAAAAACCCTAAACACTGGTTCTCATTAATACTAACAAATCTGTCAATGTGAAGAAGATTAAAATAAAAATAAATGCAACTTACTCTTATTTTGGGGCTCTTTTCACATTGCTGGAGTTGCGTGAAAGAGAACCAGACCAAATATTACTCAGCTGCAGGGAAACAAGGGCCAAACTCTGATCCAGTTTACATGGGTGATCATCCCCAATAATTCCAGCACAGATCTGCCTTTAATATTAATGCTAATGTTATTTTTTTTAATGCTAGGAAAAATTCCATTTGTTTAAAGAAATGTTTCTTTAATTACACTGCTCCTAACCGGCCTTTTTTGGAAAAGCATGTAGAAAGAACTAATTGTTAGTACATTTGTTGCTCATATTAGTAGGATCAGAGCCTAGCCTTGCAACACCAAATGAGCTTTATATTATCAAGTGTTTACACTTTTATTTAAGTCCATAGTACGTCTTAGTTAGTCAGGCGAAACTAAGATATTCAAGGAAAAGGTGCCCAACTACAGCTTCAAAATCTTGTCTGTGACTACTTGAAAACATGTGAATTACTTTTTCAGGCTAGTCTTCCCAGATTTTGGGAAACAAGCAGACAAGCTGTGTGAAGAAATATCAAAGAGCACTCAGAATACACCAAGAAATATCAAAGGTAGCTAACAGCCACCATTTACCTATTAGCAATTCAAAAGGCTTGTTGGGAAGCTGAGGTGCACTGCTGTTCCTGACAAGTGTCAGCTGCTCAGACTGTCTGAGGTGGCAAGTACTGCCTTACCCACAGCAGAGCAGCTCCCCGGGCCCAGGGATGCAGCAGGGGACAAATCCCTGCCTGGCACATCAGCACAGATCCATCTTCCGCTGTGGTTTTGTCTGTGAGCTGAGCAGCTGGAGAGCAGGTGTGTTTTTATCCTTCTGTTGGCCTCCCCCAGGGGCTGGCAACCTCCTGCCCTGAAGCAGGACAGTCACTGGGGATGTCACTGATGGAGGTTTCCCAGGGCTCCTCAGAGCAGTGGTACTCCATGAACAGTTCTGGTTTTCAACACTGGAAAGCACACAAACAAGAGCCACGAGTGTTCATGGCTAGAATTCCAGCTAAATGGATAAAACTTACATTTTCTGGAAATAAATGGAAAAGCCACAGTGTTTGTTTAAAAATGTTTAAAGATGTGACATTTGGTATGAATTCTTTTTAAGAACATCATTCAGTGGATTGCCTGAAGAAATATAAAGACTACATCCCTCTTAATTTGCATCTCTAAGTATTCCTCAGTCTTCCAGTTATTTACAGAAGGGCATCCAGTGTCTATTTAGCAGGGTAAGTTAAAAGAAGAGCCAGTGTCACACAAACAACGGTGAGGTATCCTAACAAGGGTGTCCTAATTGAAATTATTCCTTAAAATAGAACACTTGAAAATTTATTGTTAACTCCAGTCAATCTTGCACAGATTAATTATATTTAATTATCAATCTCTTTATTACCAAGAACTTTTTATATTTATTTTTATTTGTGTGTCTTCTGCTATACTATAAATGAAGTAGTCTTTAAAGGGGTTACAGATCTGATGGAAGACATCAGGGAGTTACAAAGAGCACAGGAATTGAGGGTCTAATCGTGCATCTGCAGAAGCAGATCTGTTGCTGTACAGATTGCTAGTGCTTGGCCTTTCAGCCAAGTGCTTTGCCTCACTGTGGTTTGGGGTAAAATATGATCTGATTTCCATGGAGTGGAGGACAAGAACAACTGCTATCACACTTACTGGATATGGCACTTGAGGACATAGTTCAGTGGTGAACATGGTGGAGGTTGATGGTTGGACTTGGTGATCTCAGAGGTCTTTCCCAACCTTAACCATTCTACAATTCTAAGATTCTATATGTGCAAATACAAACAAGATCTTCAGAAAATTAGTGTTTCAGTAAGGTCAGGATATCTTACACAGTGCTCATATACCATTTATGGAATGGGGCATCTCCCATTTCATAAACTGGAGCAGCTCTAGTTACAGGAAAGATTTCATTTCCAACAATGCTGCACCAGAGACTTTGACGAGGTTTGACGAGTATGAACCCCAGCATACCAGAAGACAGCCTTTCTTCTCCACCATGGCCACAAGTCCTGGATGCAAATCCCAAAATGAACGGTCCTGGCACCCCTCCCCTCAGCCCCTGGCTCCGAAGGCTTACCATTGGGTCGGACAGGAGGGCTGCGGACCAAAGGGCTGGTGGATAAACTGGTGAGTACCATGGCTGCTGTTACTTTATCCATGTCCAGTTCTTCTGAAGACTTTCTGAAACACAGTGAGTGGGAGGCAGGAAACACATCAGCAAATATTTAACTTTTTTTAATGTTTTCTTTTTAGTTTTTTTTAATACCAGCCCAAACCCTAAGCCAGCACAGCACAGTAACAAAAACAAGCTGCTGCGCAGAGTTCTCAAAGCTTCAGTCTTCTGGCAACCTGAGCATATCAAGTGGCTACTATAAGCAAACTAGCTCAGTAAATAGGAAAGGAAGTGGTAAAAGAGAATACATCTTTGTATAAATTCTTGGGATTACTGTGACCCTCTGTAACTTTAACTTTGTTCTTTATTTTTCAGAATTTCAGCTATTCATATTCTTAGAGCTAAGTGTATATACTTAAGGTGGTTTTCGTTTTCTTGGATGAAGACACAGAGATGCAAAGCTGGATAAGATTAGTAGCAACATTAATAACATAGACTACTCTCTGTAGGGTGAGGAAGAACTATGAACTGGAACTAAGGGATGTGAGTCTGTTGCTTCTGCTTAATGCTATTAACCTTTCCCTACTTTCTCCAAAAGACTGATCCTAAATTTTTCCCAGTCAGACTATAAACCAATTATTTCAAATAATTAGGAAACTGGCATAAAAACCAGGCAGGCACAGCAAGGGTGGGAGAGAGAGAGAGGGAAGATTTTTTTTGTGGGTGTGATGGGCACCTGAGCCATCAGCACAGCGGGAAGAGAGGGGCCTCTCTTAGCTGGGAACCTGAATAAGTCAGAGCAGAGGACATGGGGAATGGGTAATAAGGAGGGCAGACAGCTTTCCAGGGGAGGGAGGAGAAGATGTGGACAGCAGACAATGCCATGAGGGACCAGGCTTCAGTGACCCATTGCTCAAGGAGTCATGTTTTTATTAAGATAATGAAGGATTTTGTCTGTAAAAATTATATATTCCCCCCCCAAGAGTAACTCTCTTCCTTACAATGCAAAATTTCTGAAGAGTGAATGTACCAAAATAAAACTATTAAGCTCACCAGGTTTGGCAGACTTTTGCTTTCCATCCTTGTGAGATTTCCACCTTGCGCGTAGAATCAAAGCAGACAGCTTCTTGTAACCATTTGCTTTTGAATACATGACTGATTGTCCAAAACCATCTTTTCATTTTGTATAGGTCAAGTTAATTTTGTTCTTACAAAAGGACACTTTCCCCCCTCTATGCTGCAATGTGGGGTTTCTCGAATTGCACCTGTGCCTTGCCAGGAGCTCTATTTAACCAGTCAGGTTGAGTCCAATTTAAAGCCCAATATAAGAAGTGGCCAGCTATCTGATGTTTCCCACCAACTGCTGATTGGTAAGTCACCAAGAGGAACAGGACATGCTGGGCACACTCTCTTTTCTAGAATCCTATCTCAACCACCAGGGGGAAGGCTTATTAACTGGAAACTACACTGCAGTCAAAGCCTGTTGATATTTTAGTGAGCAAACCTCGAACTGTCCATGAAACAGTTCACAGCTGCTTTCTGGCTGATGCAAGGACCCACACAGATGCTGATGAACACTTTCCCACGCCACACAACAGCTTAGCTCTCCTGACTGTCTTTTGCAACACATCAGTGTCTGGAACCAAAACGCTGATGATGGTTCCCGCTGCATTATCATTATATCCGTAGAAAGCTTCTTTTCCCTCAGCCAAGGCTTTTGCAAAGAGCACAGCAGCCATATGGTCATCATCAAGTACTGGAAAGGTCTCGGATATCTGCTATAATCAACTGAGACCTGAATATGTCACCCATCAGGTCCTCATGCCTGCAGAGGAATATTCCACTCAGAATGCCAAACTCCTCTGGGCTCAGAAGACCCTTCCTCAGGGATGACATTGAGAAGGCTTCTGAAAACCAGCCCTGCCACATGATTTTCCAATTACCTAACATCCCAGTATGAAAATCCACTTTCTGAGAAAGATTCAGTGTCTCTGTAGTCCATTCCTGCCAAACTACACCAATTGTCCCTACACCTTTATCCAGCTATGGATGAACCACTAATATCTGCACTTCTGCAAGACAGGAGGACAAAATGAGCGTAAGTTCCTGATATGCTGCAGAAGCTGATCCCCAGTGTTTGCAATCAGCCTTCCATCTAGGCTCTTCTGTGTGTGTGGCAACAGGACTAACCTGCTCTTCATCCAGGCCTCTGCAGAACTGCAAAATCACACCACAGCAGATGATGCAAGTGTTTCCCTAGTTGATGTCGAGATGTCAGAGTCTAGACCCGGACCTAATCCCAAAGTTTGCCAAGTAGTCTATAAATTTAACTTCTTCTAGCTCTTTTGTACTGATTTTTTTCTCCCCTCTACAATGACAAGCACTGCTGCTCTGAAAAACTAACCCTTGCGCCAAATAATTTTGCTATGTCCCAAAATTGTCAGCATTGGCATCTGTGCCTAAGGTGAAAGTTTTCACAGACAAACAAAGGACAGGAACAGTCATGACAATTCTTGCCATTTCTAGCCATGCTAAACCACACTCTTGCAGTTACTGGAATGCTTTTTTCTACCTAATCCAATTTAACAGGCTAACAGCCCAAATAAAACAAACTTTGGACTTCTTCTCTGTCCATTTTGAATCACGGTCATTTTTACTACTTCTAGCTCCTCAGCTACATCCAGCACACAAGGAATGCTGCTCTCATGCTTCTCAGCCACAAGATTTTAGCAGCTACAAGTTCTGGCTTATGTGACTCTGCTCCTAAACACATTTTTACAGTTTGGCTCATAAATGTAAACACACATATTTCATATATCACTCAGCCAGTACTGTTGCAGCAGCAGCAGCCTTCTTCAAGACATAGGCAAAGCGTAAAACTGAAGACAGGAACCACTTAAGCCATCTGCATTTAGTCAGCATCACATGTGAGTTGATGCCTTAAGACTGCCCCAGTGTTTTCCAGCTTTCTCTGCTGGAAAGCTGAACCTGCATACAGCTGTTAAACAGTATTTGCACTGAGAGAGGAGAATAACTCGTTCGTTACACACAGATTGCTCATAAACCATTTATCCCACCATTGCTGAGGCAATTTTCTGTGGACTGAAGTTATAACCCCTGATGTTGCTTATATTGTTATTAGGTGTAATGAAATTTAAATAAGTTGTAAGATCTTCTACTACATTAGCTATGAAGATTTCTTCTTTCCTCCAATCCCACATCTGAGTCTCCAAAAAGCCATCTCCCAAAATCTTGATGGATGTGCTTGTGTCAACCCAGTCTGCATTTGAGATCAAACAGTTCTGGATCCTTTATTTTCAACTTTTTGTAAATCCAAATACCTGCCAATAGCTGAATTACAATCAATCACCTGATATATAAGCAGCAGAAGTTCCAGGACCCTGGGGACAAACCTTTTATCACCACTCCACGTCTCTCAGCTTCATGTCTCCCTGCTTCCCCAGTAGGTAGAATGATTTCACTTGATCCCTACAATACCCTAATCTATCCAGCCTGGCCTTTCAAAGAGTCCTTTTCTTTAACAGCCAAGCCCAAACTAAACTTAGTTACTACACTTACTCTTGCTCAATCCTTTCCTTGGTTTTGCTGATGAATTTACTACTTTTTTGATAATTTATCAATGTTAAGAAACCATCACATACTCCTCAGTCAAAGCTTTCTACAAGGAAAGGCTGGGTTTAAGCTCTAAAAGATGAGAAAAAGAGAGTCCAAGACAAGCCCAAGGCTATGCAAGTGCCCCAAGCCAACACAATATCCAATCTCCTACTGTCCCATTTCCTCTGCCTGCTCCTGGCCACTGTGACTTCCACGCTCCCTACTAAGTGTTATTCTCATCTGGACACACCTACATCACACTTCCATATTTTCTTCTCTATCAGCCACATCATCATCTGTGTTGGGAACCTTTTTTTAAACCTGCTCTCAAAAAAATCTTTAGAAATACACATTTTATTCTAGTTTTTTAAGTCTTTAGTCTATAATTTATTAATTGTCTGCCTTAGATCAAACAGCCTGCAGTTTTTCCTCTTAGAAAAACTGCATCTTAAGTCAGTACTTTTCTCAAGCATATTTTAAAGGTCCTGGAGAATATTCTTAGAGCAGAGAAACTGGCAGGGGAAGCAGGTGTTTTTGATAAAATTGACCTTACTCGAAATGACACTTAAGTTCATTTGAAGCAAAGAAAAAATAAAAACCAAATTCATTTTCCCTGTCCACAACTCCAAAGCTTTCAGTTAATTCCCTGACCAGAAACCTCTGACTCCAGTGCAGCAAAGCTCAAAGCAACCAGGCACAGTTCACTGTATAGAAAGTGCTTTCCTACACTCTGGAGCTGCCCCAACACGGTGGGAATGCAGACCAGGCAGCGTTTCTTCACCAGGGCTCTGCTCCCACCAAGACAAGGAGAGGGACAGCAGCATCCTGCAGCTGGCAGGACCAGGCTGCATGGGGACAGAAACTGCAGCACCAGCACACGAGCGCAAGGGGAAGGGAAAGGGAAAGACATTTCCAATTACTTCAAGTGGATGTTGACTACAAAAGTCGATGGTCACAGATTCAACCTTCTCTAGAATCACACACCCCTGCTTTCCAGCACTGTTGAGCTTGCCTTTCCTTAACCTACTCTCTAAACAATAACCACCTGAAGCTCATATGCTCTAAACATTCTGACTTATTAAAAGGCTTATATTTTCCTTTGTCTTGGCAGAGGCACATGCTTTCCTATTTCTTACTGCTATCCTCATCAGAGGGACATGGTAAAAAAAAAAAAAAATTGACTAGGATTGATAAGGACAGAGGCAGCCAAGCACAAAAATGCTATTATGCTATGTTAGCTGGCTACTGTCCTCCACTCAAAAATCAGCTTATGACAGTGGTTCACAAAACATTTGGACCTTTTGTTAAGGAAGTACCCTATAAATATGTGTGTGTTAATATGCTACAACTAGGACAAAATAACAGTATATTTAAATATCTATTTATATCTCCCTCCCATGCTTATATGTGCTAAAGTCTCATAGATATCTCTGAAGTCTGACTCTGATCATTT